TATCCGTCTGCTCCACACTGAGCCTGGTGGGGTGGGAAGCGGGAGGAGATCCATGGCAGACACGGTGGCCCAGGGCCCTGCCTCGTGCTGACTCAGCCCCAAGTCTCCAGGATTTGGGGCAAAGCTGCAGCCTTTCCAGGGTCACTGGGCTGCAGAAGTCTGAGGGGGAGCATCCAAACAGGCTTAGTATCCAGCATCTCCTTTGGTCTGGATATCTCAGAGCTTCCTTCTGTAACTCCTTAGTCTTTTCAAGGCCAGGTTAACGGAGAGGGAGAAATGCCTTCAGAAAGAGGTAAAGAAGGAGGCTTGTAAATCTGCCAGAGAGCAGCAGGCAGCTTTGGGAATGGGGAAGGCCAGAAGCTGCTTGCACTGATCTGGGAGGGAGCAGTTGAACCCAAGCCAGCTAGAATGAGTAGATGCTGCTTACAGAAGGTTTCCCCTTCTCCATATAAAGTCATTTTGAAGGGAAAGTACTTTCCCAGCAACGTAGGAGACTGGAGTGGGTCTATTTTCAGACTTGCAAGAGTTTGTGAGGGTGAACAGTGTCTAGCTTTTGCTTTGATTTGCTGTCTCATGGGGAGCATTCCCAGTAGATGTTTTACCTGGGGCTGTGGCACAGCGATGGAGTGCTCAGGAGGGCTGGCTGGGAACCAAGCTGGCACCCATGCGAGCTCCAGTGTGCAGTACACAGTTTTGTGTGTTCATGGTCAAGACTTACCACGCACACCCAAGCACCAGGGCATACCCCACAGTGCTTAACGTCAAGCTTATTTTTGCCTTTAGTGACATACCTGTAGCCCCCTTGATTCTAGTTATTGCTCTGCTTGCTGGGGTGTGATTTATTTGTGTGTGTGTGGGGGGACACCAAAGGATGGTCAGCGATGACCAGCTAACTCTGAGCTGTGATAGACCATCCAGGTACCAGAAAGGGGCAGGTGGGTGGGCTGGGAGATGCCGGATCTCTGCCTGCTGTGGCTGAGCAGAGGAGAGGTGCCCGGCATGGGAGGGGTGTCGGGAGCAGATGCCAAATGATAACCTCATCGAGGAAGTCAGAGGCTCTGGCGCATGCTGCCGTGGCAGAAAAGCAACTACATACCAGCAATGGGAACTCCTCTCTGGCTGCTGCTTTTGACATAATGCAGGCTGTCAGCTCCCTGTGATCTGCAGAAAAAACAGCCCCTGCACTTTCAGGCTCCTCTCCCGGGGTGGATGGGCTCGCTGACTCTGTAAAGAAGCCCCTTCCCTGGCCAAGGATAGCTGTTTGTTTTATGAACAATGGGCAGAGCAGGGAGGAAATGCCTGAAGTGCCTGTGGAGAGCAGCTGATCTCCATCAACAGCCTGTGCTGTCCTCTTGGCCAAGGAGCTCCTGCTCCGTCAGGGCAAGTACTGTCAGGGAGCATCCTGTTCATCCACAGTGCCCCTGGCTCAGTCCCTGGTGGGGAGCAGAGACCACTCAGACGCACTGATGGTGGTGACCACTTTCATCAGCAGGTACAATCCCCAGATCCCCAGCCTGAAGGAAGCGGACGGAGAAACATTCCCCTTTGTGGGCAGTGCTGCAAGTAGAGCAGCAAGGCTTCTAAGATAGAGGCTGTAGGATGAGGCCAGGGGGCTCCTTGCTGGCAGGAATCAAGTCACCTGCTCTGTAGAAGATGGGCTTGTTTCCAGCCCTGCTGAGTGCATGGTGGCCTTGCTCCCTTCACAAGGACTCCCAAAGCAAGAGGGGTGACTTGCAGGAGGGAATGTCCTCACATCCTCTGAAGTCCCTGCAAGGCTGAGGCATCCCCGGCCTCTTTGGTTGTGGCAGGTTGCCGTGTCCCTGGTCCATCTCTGGCTGCTTTGGGGGACTGGGAGAGACCGTGAGTGGGACCAGCGCAAGCAGTAAGCAAGGTGGCTGCCATGCACCTGGGTGTCAGCTCGCTGTGGTGGGAGTCTAGATAACTGCTGTGGCCTGTTGCGGTTTGACTTTAAATCTGCTGACTTCTTGGCCTTTCTCATTTATTTTTAGTGGAGGAAGAAGGAGCCCAGCTCTAGAGTTTGGGCTGTCTGGATTTAAGTCAAATACCCAGAGAGACCACAATGACTCCTTCCCATGACACTGTTGCATCTCTCCGGATGTGTATTCCCTCCTGGCCTCAGGGCTGTGCCGGGTAGAGGCAGAGGTCTGTGAACACTCCCAGTTCATTCTGCAGCCAAAGGTGACAGCCTCATGTTCCTCCTGGTTAGATCAGGATGTACATCTCGAGCTTGGGGCTGCCTCGTGACGGCCAGGCTCTCGCTGTGCTGTGGCTGCTGTGCCGAGTCAGCCAGCGCTTCGCTGTGAAGTGGTGCAGGCAGTTCCCCTTTCCAGGGAAGATAAACAATTTCTCCTCACCCAGGAGGTGCACAGAAATTCTCTCTCTCATTTCCCCTGACAGCAGTTGCTGCAGAAGAATCCTGGTGTGACCTGCTCCTGGCAGGGCAAGCAAACATCCAAGGGCAGAGGGTGTCCAGGCCCTTGACAGAGGGGGAAACTCCGTGGCAGCCGACAGAGACACCTCCGGCAGTGGATTTAATGGTGCGCTGAATGCTGCCATTTCCCAACTAGGGAAGAATTGAGCCAGATGCAAGGAAGAGCATACAGTGCCCTAAAATCCACCTGGCTTTTAACATAAGAATCAGCATCTTTCATTTTCTGTGGTGGGAGATGGTGGTCATTTGGGGGCAGCTGTGTTTCTCTTGCCTCACGGAGAACCCCAGCAACTGGTGATAAAGAGGATGGTGTCATACAGGGACAAATGTAGCCCAGCATCTAGGCCCCGAGCTCTGCCCTGGGAAGGCCACCTTGCACATGAAGGGTTTTGCATGGCTGTAGCAGAAGGCAGCAGCACGCTATGCTGGGTGTGCATCTCCTGGGAGGTCCTTGCAGAGCACAGGGTGAGCTAAGCAGCTTGGGGACATCTGGGTCCCACCGGGCCAGAGCTGCCAAGCGCCCTATTGTCCCTATTGTTCAAGGGACACCAGAAAAAGAACATCAGGGCTGTGCAGGAAACGTCTGTGCTGGGGAAGGGGAGCAGAGTGCATGACCTGAGGTGGCTCCATCGTGGGGATGACAATGACCTGGGATGGCCACAGCCTCACTGCTGAGCAGGGGCCAGACAGTGCTTTGGGCAGGAGCATGCTGGGGGTGCTAGCCCCACAGATCACCCCACTGTACTACACTACGGTTGTACTCGGAGGGGAACAGCCTCCCGCAGGGTGTTGCAGAGCTGGGCACAGTCTGGAGGTACGGATCTGCTCTGGGCCCCCTGGAGCAAGGATAACTCCTGCACCCTTCCATACACTGGAGGGTGCTGTGACTGACACACCCCTCTCCTGGTCAGTGCACGGGAATCAGTTCATGCAGCAGCACAACCAAGAGGGTCAGCACTGTAATGAAATGCTGCTTAAATATTTTTCTCAGCTGAGAGACTCAGTTCTGTGCAGATGAGGAGCACCTGGGTTGTGATGTCTGCCAGGAAACCAGCCCATGCTGATCATTAGGTGTGGTTTCAACTGTTGCCTGGGGCTAGATACAAAACTTCCCTGCTTCTACGCAGTGACCTCCTGTTAAAACAAGGACTGGGATACTCCTGTCATGGAGAATTTTTATTGCAGCCACCCTGGTCTCTTAGCAACTTCCCACCAGTAGGCTGTGTACTGTCATTCCTGGACAGGGAAGTCTCAGAAGAGAAGAACAAACGCTTCTCTGGGATCACACCACCTGCCCAGGAGTAGGGAGCCACCTTGGCATCCCTTGGGGTAAGACAGGGATGGCTGATGTCCTCTGGCCAGTGATACCAGTGTGGATCTACCCCCAGATCCTGAGGAGGAAAAAAGATGGCAGCTTTCTGCTGGAAGATGTTGGTGTAGTGGGGTGCACCTGAAACCTGCTCCCCACTGCCTGCAAGAGGGCTGGAGGGCAGAATGCATGTTCAGGACCCCAGAAGGAGCATCAGGACTCAAATCTGCTGCCCTTTTATGGAGCTGGGAACGAGCCATGGCTTGTGAGCCGGCATATCCAGGGGCTTCCATCAGGCTGGCTCTGGAGCACTTGTTCACATAGGAAATGCCTTCTCCTGGTGGAAACTAATGGGAGCTTCAGTTTCCTGTTACTGCCTGCATCTTCAGAGCAGAAGGGGAAAAGGTGCTATGTTCTTCAAGCTATCAATAAGTGGAAATAAACACTATGTGCTCCTTTGGTCTGCACTTCCTATTGTGGGGAATTCATAGCTGCATTTTGCAAAACAGCCTCATGATAAAGGGCTTGAACAGAAAAGGCCATTCTTCCCTTCCTGGGGTATGGGTTACGTCTCCAACATTTCCCAGCCCGAGGGGTAAACATCTCCATCCAGATCTACAAAACAGCTCTGTTCCCATCTGGCTTTGGAAGCAACTCCCTGTTTAACCAGGGATTGGAGCTCTCTGGGGAAAAACTGAGCTCTGCGTTCACCTGGTCCCTTCCCACATCCCCACCAAGAAAGTTCTAATGCCCTCCAGCCAGCCTCCTTTGGCTCACTATTGCACACAGGTAAAACAGCAGCTGCATAACAGTGAATTCTGCTAGCCAGCTGCCATGGGCTTTGCTGTAGATTAAAATCATGCTGGGAAAAAGGATGCTGCAAAGCTGTCCAAGCTCTCCGTGGCATGGGAGAGTAAGTGGGACCCACCCTGTCTCTTGAGGGGGTCTTTTCCTTCATGCCAGCTGAGCATCAACGATGCACTTAGTATCTGCATGGTGAGCAGAGGTAGCAGTTTGTGAAGTCCTGCTCAGCCCCCGAGATAACAGAATACCAACATTTCCTTACCTCTAACCTTAGTCTTGCAAGTAGAAGGACTGATCACCTGAACTGCTCATTCTTGAGTTTCCATCTGGGGCAAGTACCCATCAGGCTGAACAGCTTAAGGTTGGATGCATGTGTAGCTTTGGAGAAGAAGTGCTGTGATGTGGAATCAGCCCAGCAAGCTTGCCTCCAAGCAGGGACCCCCTTCACCTCATCCTCAAAACCCATCAGAAGTGATTAGCCCCACTTAAAAGGCTAACAAGGAGAAAGGTTTATGGTCACCCAGTGCTTAAAAGCATTTCTCCTTTTTTGCAGGACCCTCCATCGTGACCCCTCCTAAGGACATCTGGAATGTGACAGGAGCACAGATCTACCTGAGCTGTGAAGTCATGGGCATCCCAACCCCCGTCCTCATCTGGAACAAGGTAAGGGCCCTGCTAGGGGCTCCTGGAGCATAGCAAACCTGAGGCAGCTGACACTGCCTGGTAAGCATAAAGGCCATAGCAGATCACTCCTTAGAAACACGCTTCTTGATGAGTTCTCCCATCTGTGCAGTTCTGTCCACCCTCAAACATCTGGCTTCGCTTAGTCTGCAGTCATTGCTTTTTCGAAACTCTTGTTGATCCTGAGGCAGAGCGGGACTTGCGTTTCCTTCCGTAACGCCTGGTATTCAGAGCTCGTGGGGAATGTCTCTTGACCTGCTGTCACCCTGCTGGCGGCAGTGACTCTGAGGTGGCTGGACACGGCTCGCCCACGTCGGGAACCCAAACCACAGGGGGCAGTTATCTGCGGTAGCTGGCAGCATGCTGGTTTTGGCAGCACACTGGTAACACCTGGCTTAGGGCAGGGGCTGATGTTGAGCAGAAAGGATCCCAGCCATGGGGCTGAGAGCCACTGCATGGCCCCTGTAGCCTCTTCAAATACCACAGGTTTGTGGACACTGAAACAATACTAGCTTAAAAATGCTACAAAGATTAAAAACTAGATTGCCCCAAAGATTGCTCTGTTCTGAGACAGCAAACTATTCATAGGGCTCCCGGAGCAGGCTGTCGGGTGAGCATACAGCGTAGGCACATGGATGCAGGCAGCATTTTCTGCTTGTTTATGAGCAGATACCATGTTTACACTGACCATCAGTGCTGCTCTGCTTTTCTTGCCTCTTCCTCGTGGCCGAGAGACTGCTTGACCTGCTGATTAACAAGGGCTGAGCAGCACTTATCCCAGGCTATGCTCTGGGCTTGGATACGCAGCACTGGAGAACGACTGCACTGCTGCTCCCTCATTGATGAGGGACTGCCTGGTTTGCTGCAGCAGAAACCTAGAAGGCTGTTGCTGGCCTGTTGGGAAGAGCAGGGAGAGCCCATTCCGGGAGCAACGTGCAAACACTCAGTTCTCTGCTCCTGCCATGCTAAAAAGCCTGATGGTCAGGGAAGTTGTGAGGGAGCCTCTCCAAACAAGGGCAACAGTCAGCTCCTGCTGTCCCCCCAGTCCCAAGCCAGAGGGCAGCTGCTGCTCCAGCCTGCTGAGCTGGATTGATGTATGGCTACCAGCAGCTACAGGCAGCCAAATCCTCCTTGTTCAGCACAGGCATTATTTGATGGGCTAAACACACCTTTGGGAACAAGCACACGAGTTCTGTGAGACCGTCAGCGCAGGGCACGTTTGCA